GCACTGTCTGACGCGTCTGCCTCCGCGACCCGAAAGGAGAAGCGGCGATGGAAGATGATGATGATGATGTGTTATTCAATGTCTACGAGCGGTTTTAATAAATGATACTTGGAAAATACACTGAAATACAAAATCTCAAATTTAGACTTCTGTTATCAGTACTCTAATTACCTTTGAATCCGTTACGGTGGAAATTGTACCGCTGCCAGGTGCAAAGACCACTAGCGTACTGCAGTGGCGGCCAGCTGCATTTTACATTTGCAAATACTACGTAATCAATGTAAATACATAATAAACCAATAAACTACATATGCCATTTTTCATGAATACGTAACAGTTACCCAGATGATTGGAACGTTCGATTTCGCAAATAAAGAATTTCACTAAAACAATTGCAATTGCAGTACAATCAGTGGAACCAGTGTAGACGAGTATACGCCGAATAGCCGGAAAGACAGTCAAGACAAGAACGAACAGACGGGACCGACGAAAGCCAGCCGAACGATCGACCAAAGAACAGCCGCCCCCCCAATGATCAAACTGTGTCACCCATCTTCACCGGGTTCACCTGAAGGATGCCGACGATGACACCAAAGAGTCCGATGGCACTGGCAAAAATCTCGATGATCAAGATCTTGACAAATAACAACGGGTTCTGGGCATCAGCCAGTGCGGCGCCGCTGCCGACTATGCCAACACAGAGACCGCAGAATAGGTTGGAGAAGCCGACCGTCAAACCGGCGCCGAACATCATGTAGCCAGCAGCAATGTTGCTGGTCAGTTGCACTGGACTGTTGGTGTCCGGCGAGAAGTCGTGGTGCTTGCCGCCGATAACGATCGCCATTATGATGCCGTAGATGGCGACCGCCTCACAGAAGATGATGCTGACCAAATTCTTGGTGCGGATCCGAGGTGCCTTGACACCACCTCCGACGATGCTAGCACCAGTGACAAAAATGCCCCATGCGGCGCCGACCACTGACAAGGAGATGGCAAACGCGATGCCCATTGAACTCCACATCAACGGTGTCGTGTTCGTCAGGAACCAGCCGATACTGAACCGATAACCTTTACCGCTCAACATATAATACAGCGCCAAAATTACAATTGCAAATGTCCCCAGACACATCACGGATATCGAACTAGCTAAAATTCTACCCATGATTTTACTCGAACACAATACGATCGGGTAAGCGCAAACCTCGACTGTATTACAGTACCCTTAGTCAACCAGCATGTTAAGTGTTAAAGATTCTTCTTTTTCTACCTTGTTTTTAAAACTTTACGTTGAAGAATATATTGTAAGGGTGAATTACAGCTGAACTACACATGAACACCATGTTCTCCTTAGGTCATCTGATTTCATTGTTTGCCACAAGAGGAAAATTTTCTGATGCTAACCGTGACATCAAAATGCCCATCAGTTTCAAGTTATCTGCAGCACAGCATCGGTGGAGGTCAGAGATTTTTAGTTTTTGGAAATCAAATCCAACACCTCAGATACTTCAGGATAATCCTCTGTCACTGTTTCTCTATTCCCTAATGAAGAACTGGTTTTGGATAAAAACTAATTTACTGAAATAAATATATATTTGCTCTTTATTATTTCAAT